GGGGTGGGGAACCCCGAAAATGGGGTGAGGCGCCCAGAAAATGGGGTGGGGAACCCCGAAATCGGGGCTGGGCACCCCGAAAATGGGGTGGGGCACTAAAAAATGGGGTGAGGACCCCCCGAAAATGGGGGTGGGGAACCCCGAAAATGGGGTGAGGCGCCCAGAAAATGGGGTGGGGAACCTCGAAATCGGGGCTGGGCACCCCGAAAATGGGGAGAAGTGCCCAGAAATTGAGGTAGGGAACCCCGAAAATGGGGCTGGGCACCTCGAAATTGGGCTGTGGCACCCGAAAATGGGGCTGGGCACCCCGAAAATGGGGCTGGGTACCCCGAAATCGGGGCTGGGCACCCCGAAAATGGGGCGGGGAACCCCGAAAATGTGGCTGGGCACTAAAAAATGGGGTGGGGAACCCCAAAAATGGGGTGGGGCACTAAAAAATGGGGTGAGGACCCCCCGAAAATGGGGGCTGGGCACCCCGAAAATGGGGTGAGGCGCCCCGAAAATGGGGTGGGGCACTAAAAATGGGGTGAGGACCCCCCGAAAATGGGGGTGGGGAACCCCGAAAATGGGGTGGGGCACTAAAAAATGGGGTGAGGACCCCCCGAAAATGGGGGTGGGGAACCCCGAAAATGGGGTGAGGCGCCCAGAAAATGGGGTGGGGAACCTCGAAATCGGGGCTGGGCACCCCGAAAATGGGGAGAAGTGCCCAGAAATTGAGGTAGGGAACCCCGAAAATGGGGCTGGGCACCTCGAAATTGGGCTGTGGCACCCGAAAATGGGGCTGGGCACCCCGAAAATGGGGCTGGGTACCCCGAAATCGGGGTTGGGCACCCCGAAAATGGGGCGGGGAACCCCAAAAATGTGGCTGGGCACTAAAAAATGGGGTGGGGAACCCCAAAAATGGGGAGAAGTGCCCAGAAATTGAGGTGGGGAACCCCGAAAATGGGGCTGGGCACCCCAAAAATGGGGCTGGGAAGTCCGAAAATGGGGTGGGCATCCCGAAATTGGGGTGGGGAACCCCGAAAATGGGGTTGGGCACTAAAAAATGGGGTGAGGCACCCTGAAAATGGGGAGAAGTGCCCAGAAATTGAGGTGGGGAACCCCGAAAATGGGGGGGAGCGCCCCAAAATGGGGTGAGATAAACAAGGGGTGTCCCTAAACGGGGGGGACCCCAAATAAGGCACGTTTCAAAACACTTTAGGTGCCAGTTTGCCCCAGTCTGTCCCAGTCACTCCCAGCCAGCCCCAGTCAGTCCCAGTCAATCCCAGTTTGTCCCAGTCTGTCCCAGTGTGTCACAGCCAGCCCCAGTCTGTCCCAGTCACTCCCAGTTTGTCCCAGTGTGTCCCAGTCTGTCCCAGTTTGCCCAGTTGTGTCCCAGTTTGCCCCAGTCACTCCCAGTCTATCCCAGTCAGTCCCAGT